AAATCAAGGTTTTCCCCCCAAAAACCCAACACCACAAAATCTCCAAGAAACTAAAAACACCAAGTCTACTTGGAAATCAGTTTGACACTCAAACAATTATGCATCAATGAGCATTCCATACCACGCATGCAACATGATAATCTACAAAATCATCTACCAAGATCAAGTTCTAACTTTCCTTACCTCTTAGGAGAAACAAAATCAACCAAGAGGGAAAAAGGGAAGAAGAAGCGCTGAACGAATCCGAGGTTGGCTCCGCAACACAGTTTGAGGAAGAACTCTCACAACTACTAACCAACCACACAAAGAAGGGTAAGAAAAAAGAAGATCTTAGGAATGAGGAGCAAAAAGTCAACTTTTCTCACTCTAACTTCACTATTTCAAGAACAATCTTATGGAACTCCCTCCCAGGCCCCAGGCTTAAGTGTTACAAATTTAAGCATAATTACAATCTCTAAAATAAAGGTCTAAATCCCATGATTATAGATATTCTAATTTCCATAATTAAAGATATGCTAATTACTATAATTACAACATAGTTGTATGCGTGACTCATGTCAACACAACAATGAGACATACATGGTATATAACTGTCTTATTTGGAACGTTTCAATCAAAAGTTCTAACGAATGTAAGGGACAACTATTTAGGGCTCCATTTCTAAATATAGTGTACGTCATATAAAATAAAATTACATAATTAAATTATATATAAATTATTACATTACAAGTAATTAATTAATTGTTAATTAATTGATAGGTAATGTTTTCACTTCTTAACAAAAATCTAATTTTAGAAAATTAAATTAGTAATGTTAAATATAAAGAGAAATATATGATATATTATTAAATTATTTCTTTTTATTTCTTGTGGCATGAACTTCCCAAAATGTTTAAGCAAATACATGAATAAGGGTTCTCTTATCTCTTTTCATTTATTTCTAATTTTTTCAATTCTATTAGTTTGGCTTATGTTAATATTACTGAAGATTGTGTGGATGAAAATGACTTGTTATTTAGAAAGATTTGGTGCTGGCCTGGGTTGGAGAGGGTCCATTTATTACTCTGAAAATAGTTGTTAATGCCTTACTCATTAATGATATCAAGCAGGCTAGGAACATGACAACATATGCTTCATGCATGAGATGTGGGGATGATGTTGAATCTGTGGGTCATGAGTTTTGCACTTGTGCAATCTTCAAGGCAATATGGTATTTGTTGTTACCTACATCAAAACATCAAGATTTCTTTGGTATAGCTACTAAACATTAGTTGCTGTCAAATCTTAATGATAGGGCTCTTATTGTTGGTCATGAATGGTGTCTGATCTTTGCTGTTACTTTGGATATCGTATGGTAATATAGGAATAGGACCATCTTTCAGGGCTCTTCTTCTCAACCTTATGAACTGGTTCTTGAATTATTGCCCAGGTGGATGTCTTGTAGGATATTATATCCTTGTTTAAGTGTTGAACCACTGCAACAACTAATACTATGGAACAACAAGTAGTAACTTGGGTACATCCACCTATTCGGATGTATGAACTAAATTGTGATGCTTCGGTCAGCCTTGTAGACGAAAGTGCTGCAACCGGAGGTGTATTCTGTGACCATGGTGGGATCGTTATCCTTTCTTTTGCGGCCAAGATTGGTTTCTATAGTGTGGTGAATCTTGAATTGTGGGCAATTTACATTGGTATGGCTATTGCTTGGAATAAGGCATTTATAAAATTTTTGGTGGAATCTGATTCTCTATTAGCAATTAGTCCTCTCCGGAATGGGTGTCCTTTGTGTCACCCGTGTTTTAGTTTGGTCCAAAGTATTCGGTCTTTTGTTGTCGCGGGTGGTGATTTGGAGTGGTGTCATGTTCTTCTTGAAGCTAATCAAAATGTTGATAAGCTAGCTAACTATGGAAGAAGCCTTACAGATAATTTATATGTCTTTAATAATGTTATGCCTTTTTTTGCTTTAGTTGTTCAAGCTGATGTAAGTTCTACTTTTTTCTCACGTGGATTTTAATTTAGTTTTGTTGGGGTCGTGCCCCTTCTTTTCACCAAAAAAAATATTTATTCTCTTTTCAAATTTGATAGAATTTTGAAGTCAAATTATGAACTTTTATTTGTTAATTATCATGAGATTCTTTGTGACATGTGATCATTATTTATCCTATTTTTTTTTATCGTATAGTGATCTTTAAAGATAGTTTATAATCTCATATACATGTATAATATGTTTAATCATTAAGTGTATGTTTAATTGTTTATTGTTTATATATTTGAATTTGAGAATTGAGAATGTAGATAATATTTAAATTATTATAAGATCATTATTTTTTTATAGTTTTTTTAGAAGAAAAAACACTCAACATCAACCTAGTTGTATGAAATGTGAAAATTTCTGACTAGAAAGACACTTATTATGCATAACATATGCAATGCTTATCAAGTAGTGATTTCCTTAAAGTCCTTTTGAGGAAAACACAAAACGTAGATGCCATAGCTCAATGATTCTTTTTGTTTTTTTTTGCAAAATTTGAAACAGTTTTTATATATGTTTCAGAATTCGATTCCAAAACTCTCTCTTGAAGTGATAAAAAAAATAGTTTCTAAAATGTGTTAAAAATTTTAACACTCCCAGAAAGAAACAAAATAAATCTTTACTCATATAGTTCAATATTTTTCCAGTAGTCGATTAACAAAAATAAGGTATTTTTCTAACAAAAAATAATTACAAATTTTATAAAAAGAGAGTCTACTAGCAAAAGGGGAGAATAAATAGCTATTGTCTTATATTGGGGGTTTGGAATTTGGATAGTGTATCTTTTAATTTCTTTCTTCAATGGACTAAAATTCTTTCTCAAAGCCCAATATTAGGGTAGCTATTTCGCCCGAGTTTTTGATTCACACTGGGCTGCGCTAACGTTTTTGGATTCTTATTCTTAGGCAGATGATAAACACACCTCCACTCTCGTATAGACACATCATCTTTTTTTAAAAAAAATATAAAATTTCTAAATTACCCTTTAAAAAATGAAATTCCTAAATTTACGCCTCCCTTTCCCGCACCCCCCTTCCCCGCACAGAACAACACCAGAACGGGTCGTTCTGCAAGAAGAACGGCCCGTTCTGATTGCAGAACGGTCCGTTCTGCAAGCAGTACAGAATGGCCCGTTCTGCAAGCAGTACAGGCCGTTCTGCTTGCAGTACGGGCCGTACTGAAAGCAGTACAGGCCGTTCTGGGGCCGTTCTGTTTCAGTACAGGCCACCGCGTCACTTTTAAAATGGCTATCTTATGATTGATTTTAAAACTCCGATTTTAAAAGTCATTTTTGTACTAGTGTGTCTTTCCATAGAACAAGTAAGAGTCTTTCTCTTACAAGACCACATGCTGACATTGCGCACCCCTCTTCTTTCTCTTTCTGGCACTCCTCTTCTTCTTCTTTTTTTCCCGCACCTCGCACACCCCTCTTCTTTCTCTTTCTGACACTCCTCTTCTTCTTCTTACTGTTACGGAAAGTTCTTTCCGGAATTATATAAAAATGTTCCGGAAAATACTTTCCATAATATTAAATTCTTATTCCGGAAAGTATTTTCCGGAAATGTTTTGTTACATAATTTCGGAAAGTACTTTCCATAATATTAAAGTTACTATTACGGAAAGTTCTTTCCGGAATTATATGAACAATAGTTTTATTATTCCGGAAAGTACTTTCCGGAATGCTAATGATTGTAAAAGTACTTTCCGGAATGTTAATGACTGTAAAAGAACCTTTCTTATGCTGGTTATGGTGGGGCTAGTCCTTTTTTTCTATTCAGAATGATTGTAAAAGTATATTGCTTAATGACATTGAGCGGAAAGAGACTTTGGGAAGAAGAGAGATGTGGAGTGTGGGGTGCGAGGAAGAGAGGTGTAAATTTAGGAATTTCATTTTTTTTAAAAGGGTAATTTAGACATTTTATATATTTAAAAAAAAAAAAAAAGGTGTGTTTATACGAGAATGGAGGTGTGTTTATCATCTGCCTTATTCTTATTGTGTGGCTGACTTTTTTGTTCTCCTCAATTGGGCCAACAAAGCATTTTAGACCACCTAAATAGCGTATTTTATTTTCTTCTCTTATTTCCATCCTTTTCAGCCGGTTCAAAGAAAAAAATAGCAGAAAGTGTTGTAGGGTGCAACGTTGTATTGATAAAAATGAATATTATTATTGAAATGAACTGAATTGAGGGTGTGGGCACAAGGACGTGTGTCAGATAGAAAGGAGTCTGTGGGGTAAAAACTAAAAATCAGTGTTAGAGGAAAGAAGCTTTGAAATAGTTTGTGGAAAACGGAAACTCAGTTAAAAATAAAATATGAAGGTATTTATGAGGAAAAAAATATAATAAAAAACATATATTATTAAATATAAAAAGTGTATATATCAAATTCCTTGAGAGTTGCTAGGCTGCTTGGGAGTTCTAATGGTTAACGAATCAAAAGAGATACAATTAGGAGAAATTTGCCTCCATTTACATGTATGTATATCCTCCAATTCACCCTCCATTCACATGCATGTTTTCTGCATAGGAGGAGAATTTCATTTGATCTTCCCCCATCCCCTACATGTTCAATTCCATCTCCCTTAGTTTCTGAATATCCCACAAACCCCAACTTCTCAATTTCAATGCCAAGCCACATTTTCTAAGAAGCTCACTCATTTGCTTAGTTTTTGATGTTGGGAGAAGGATGAATTTGGAGTTAGAGAAATCTCTCCAATGTGCTAAATCAGGTGGGGGAGGAAGTCACTAAATCTTCAACTCAGTATTTCATTTGTTGTTACTTATTTCCTTAATTGTGTTTTTTTATTAAACTTCTTTGTTTCCCTTGGTTGGAATACTTGTTTACATTCTCTATTGTTATGAGACGTGTGGTGAAAATGTTTGACGTTACTGTTGTTCAAATTCCTCGCTGGAAAAAGGAAAGAAGGAAAAAAAGTTGTTCTCAGTATAGACTCAATAATACTACTACAGCTGCTATCTATCGTTTTGCTTTGTGTTTGACAAAGGACTATTAGCTACAACAATGAAGTGAAGTTTGCACGGGTTGTGCTTAAAAGCAAATAAACAAACACCACCAGTAATTACAAGACAAGTTCTTGAAGAACAAGAAATATATATACTTCAACAGATTCATCAGTAACTGCTCATACTCGAAATCTCAAAAATCCCCAGACCCCAGAGCAGATAGCATCTACTACATCACAGTACCCATTTAAACAGAACGTTTGTTTGGCTACACTACACGATTTGTCACCATCTATAGTACTCACAAAAAATGCCACATTTCCAAGTGCTAATTTTTCAACCAAAAAAAAACTATATATTGTGAGAGTCCCAAATACCATTAGACTCTGGCAGCAGCATTGTCCGAATGAACCATCCCTTATGGTTGAGAATTGTCTAGACGCAGCTGTTGACTTTTGTATATCCTCCTTTGAAACACCCATAAACGATTATTCTCCGCATTGCAATGCATATGCAATCCTGTCCAGTACTTACACGGCGCAGCCGAATCACAAACATAACAATAGCACTGCACTCACCAAAGAGTATTGTCACAAACGTAAGTACAAGACTCGTAAAGTAACATACATGATAAGATGGGAAATTACCATTTCACAATGGGTCTCATGCGGCGTCGTATTGAATGGGAACTTGAGACAGAGATGTCTGGAGTGCGGGTAATCTCTGCAAGCAACCTATGCGACAATATCCGAAAATCTTGAGACCAAATCTAGGAATGTAAAAAGAGGAAAATGAAATGGGTTGAATTAGAGTTGGACCTGGCCCTTTTCAGCAATGACGGAGAGATCGTCGGTAGAAGAACCGAGAGAGAGGGGAACAACGGCGGAAGGGTCAAAGCCTAGGATGAAGCAATCCTCGGTTTCTTCGAAACGGCGCATGTCGTCGATTTTGTTGAGACAAGCTATGGCTCTAATGGGGCTCTCGTCTTTTGGTGGTGGACTTTGGTCATGGGCATGGCTTTTCTTTTTCTTCCCCACTTTGGTGGCGGGGGATTTCATCTTACTTTCTTCTCTTTCGGAACACATCCACTGAGGTTATGTAGCGACTCAAGAATCAACAATGATCAATCACCAACGTATATATATATATGGAGTGGAGTGGTCACATTGAATACCCGATCAAATTCAAAATATCAGTTTCGGATTCACGATCTTATATGACCGTTTATTTTCAAATATACAGTGATGACGTCATGTTATATTTTTTTACAATTTTTTTTATCAGTGTTGTCTTTTTTTATTATTATTATCAAAATGGATAGATTTTGAAAAATTACCCAAAATGATAAGGTTGTGTACGACTTGTAAATAAAAGTTCTAATTTTTTAATCTACTTTATAGGCAATTGGTAAAACTAATCACGACATTCATAATTTTTTAAAATTCCTGAAATTATATAGGATTTTAATTTTTTTTATTATAGAATTTGTAACTCTAAATACAACTTTGGATTTAATTTTTTTAATTTCATTCGGTGAAATTAAATAAATACTACGACTTCACTTTTTTTTTTTTTTATAGCATATAGGTTGTAGAAGTAAATATGAATTCCAAATAAACTCACGTGCAGCATTTCCATTTCATGGAACTTATTGGCCTTTTGAGCTAAGATTGTGGAATCTGCGAATGTTTGAAAATTACCACAAAATATTTGTCCCTGAAGGATATCCTTTGTGTACCAGTAGGCACCTCCTCGGCCGATCATATGCTGGAACAAGCACCAAAACCAATGATACCACCCCTTCGGCCTCCTCCTAGACCGAATCACCCCGTCGGCCTTCGTCTCGACCGAACCATCATCCGGCCTCGAGCCTGACCGAAGCCATGCCACGATTTAAGGGCAACAACATGCATCTCCCACGAAAACAAGCAAACGTCTCAAGCAAAGTACTCAAGTAGCTCAAAATATCCTTTCGGTCCCAAGTCAGGCCGAACACCCCCTCGGAGACAAGCTAGGCCCAACACTCCTTCGGCCTCTAGTTGGCCCGAACACCCTCTCAACCCCGATACTGATAAACATCTAGATCTTGGAGAAGAATAAAATGAATGCCCGAGAAAAGCACAAAACTCCTCGGCACGAACCTTGGCCGAACACCTCTTCGGTCCCGAGCCTAGCCGAAGCCACTCCCCAAAGAGACTCCTTGGCATGAAACTTGGCCGAACACCTCTTCGGCCATAGCTTAAGCCGAACCCCCCTTCGGCATTGTATTTGACCGAAGACCCAAAGAGAGACAGCACCATGGACACGCGGCAAGTCAGATGGTACAGTAATTATCATGACTAATCAAAAGAGATTAGGGTTAAACCAAATATTACCCATCTCCCAAGACACAAGGCCCACCAGGCCCAGACATGTCACTATAAATACACAGGTGATGGGACATAAATGAGGTATGCTTTTATCTAATATATAAGCCTTTATTGCTCTGAACCGAATACTCATTTGATCGTTGGAGTGCCTTTGCACGTACCCTCCCCCACCACTCGGAGGCAGTATTCGGTCGGTACCGAAGACTAAGAAGACCGCAAGGAAGAAGTTACCAGATGAGTGTTTCTACGCAGGAACATTTTGGCGCCCACCGTGGGGCCGAAGCCAGAACGGTTCTCGACCCTGAAGCAAGATGGTAACAACTAGAAGTCAGCAGGAGAACGCAACTGATTACCCTTTCGGGATGCCCCGAGACATCCCTAGACGACAAACTAACCAAAACGAGGAAGGAATGGAAGAGTCGTATGTGGACCGATCCCAACAGCCCAACCCGTCCTCGGCCATCGAGCAGCTGAAGGCCGAAATGATGGAACTTAGGAAGCTCCGAGAAAAGGACGCCCACGAATTATCGGTCCTCAGAAGGGAGAACGCCGAGCTTAGAAGCAACAACAGGTCGTGGCACCCATCTCATGACCCCCCCAACACCCAATCCACCCGGGACCATGGGGAGTCATCGGGGTGGTATAAAGAAACGAAGGCCCCTCAGCCACCTAGTGGAGGGACGACAACAACTATGGATCAACAAAGGAAGCAGGGGAGGACGCCGTTCACATCGGATATTGCCGGAGCCCGACTGCCCGACAATTGGAAGAATTTGACCTTAGAAAAATATGACGGAACCGCCGATCCTTAAGAACACTTGGATGCATTCGTTACGCAAGTCGGATTATATACCGATGACGAATCGATCATGTGTAAAGTTTTCCCCACCTCGTTAAAGGGACCAGCGTTGAATTGGTTCACTAGACTTCCACCCGGGTCAGTGGACTCTTTCACAACCCTGTCCTCCCGATTTGTAATCCAGTTTGCCACGAGTCGACCTCATCAGCTCCCGTCCATCGCGTTAGTCAATGTTCGCCAGGAGGAGAAGGAACCCTTAAGAACCTTCATGGAACGGTTGGGAAAAATGACCCTCTCAATCCGAGACCTAGATCCAGCCGTAGCAATGCACCACCTTATCACGGCATTAAGGCCAGGCCCTTTTGTAAAAAGCCTCTGTAAAAAGCTGCCTCGAGATCTGGATGACCTTCGGCAAAGGGCTACAAAGTATATGCAGATGGAAGAGTTGGCCGAGTTCAGAAATCAGAACAGGACCGACCTTCTCCTCAGTAAAAAAAGAAGCCGAGAAAGAGCATCCTCCGAGAACTCGCCCTCGAGACACATCTGATCGAGAGAGGAACAACAGGGGACCAAGATACACGCAGTATACGCCAGTCAACACCAGCAGGACCAAGGTGTTAGAGCAAGCCTTAGCCACTGAAGTTCTCACCGTACCCTGCCGGGCCATGACTCTGCCCCATGCGGACAAGACTAAAATATGCCAGTTCCATAGAAACCGGGGACACACCACCGAGGAATGCACAGCCCTCCGAGATCGTATCGAAGATCTCGTCAAGTCAGGACATCTTCAGAACTTCACCCAACCAGCTGGCAGGAAGAGACATGATAACTATCAAGGTAGAAGAGAACTCGGCAGAGGGAATCAAGAAAAAATGCCCCCAAGGCATAGATCCCGGGAACGAAGCAGGACCCCAGATAGAGACGACCAGCAGCGGAGTCGAAATCAAACCAGGAGGGTAATAAACACAATCGCGGGAGGATTTGGAGGAGGGGGAAGCACGTCCTCGGCCCGCAAGAGACATTTGAGGGCGATCAAATCGGTAAATGTCGTAGGGAGGGCAACTTCTATTCATATGCCCCCTATCACATTCACCGATAGAGACTTCAAAGGAGTAGACCCGGTGCAAGATGATCCTATGGTCATCAGTGTCGAGATCAACAACTATGTCGTCAAGAAGACACTAGTCGATCAGGGGAGCTCAGCGGACATCTTGTACTGGAAGACTTTCGAACAACTCGGCATCCCCGAACAAGAATTGATACCTTACGATGAACCCCTGGTCGGATTTTCGGGTGAACGGGTAGACACTCGGGGGACGATAGACTTGTATACTTACTTTGGGGATGACCAGCGCAAACGAAGGATTAAGGTATGCTACGTGTTTGTGCATGCTAACACCTCGTACAACATCCTGCTAGGCCGACCGTCCTTGAACAAGCTCCGAGCCATCGTCTCCACCCCCCACTTGGCCATGAAGTTTCCATCTGAGGAAGGTACCATCATCACTCTACACGTCGATCAGAAAACGGTGCGTGAATGCTATTTCGCTAGTTTGAAGGTGCAGCCAACTCAAAAGCCAAGACGAGACGTCAACGTCATCCGCGAGGTCGGCCAACAGGAATTATTTGAAGGCCTAGAGCTTGATCCGAGAGTGGAGGATGAGGATAGGGTCGAACTGGTAGAAACAACGATCCCTTTCCAACTTGGAAAAAATGAAGAGCAGGTCACTTTCTTGAGCTCTCAATTATCTGAAGCGGAGGCAAGAGATATTAAGCAGGTCCTGCGAAAGTATTCGGACCTATTTGCTTGGACTGCAGCTGATATGCCGGGCATCGATCCGAGCTTTCATTGCCACCGGCTCTCGGTGTGCCGAGACGCCAAGCCTATCGCTCAGAAGAAAAGAAAGATGGGGGGCGAGAGGGCTCAGGCGATAAAGGAAGAAACAACCAAGTTGCTTCAAGCGAGATTCATAAGAGAAGTCAAATATTCCACGTGGTTGGCCACCGTGGTGATGGTCAAGAAGTCGAACGGGAAATGGAGGATGTGTACAGATTACACGGATCTGAACAAGGCCTGCCCCAAAGACGCTTATCCTATACCCCACATTGATGCATTGGTTGACGGCGCGGCCGGCCACCAGAGACTAAGTTTCTTGGACGCTTACTCGGGGTATAATCAAATACCCATGTACCCGCCTAACGAAGAAAAAACAGCATTCATCACCGATTCGGCAAACTTCTGCTACAAAGTAATGCCCTTCGGGTTAAGAAACGTCGGTGCCACCTATCAGAGACTCATGGACAAAATTTTCCGCCACCAAATAGGGACATGTTTAGAGGTATATGTAGATGACATGGTGATCAAGTCTACCTCGGCCGGTGACCATTTAAGAGACCTAAGCACGATCTTTGATGAAGTAAGGCGGCACCACATGCGACTAAATCCGACAAAGTGCACCTTCGGGGTAGCTGGGGGAAAATTCCTAGGATTTATGCTGTCAAAAAGGGGGATAGAAGCCAACCCCGACAAATGTCAGACAATTATCAACATGAAAAGCCCTCGCAACATAAAAGAAGTGCAGCGACTGGCCGGACGTATCGCCTCCTTGGCTCGTTTTCTTCCCTACATGGCCGAGAAGTCAAGGCCCATAATGTCCCTTCTAAAAAAGGCTACCAGGTTTCAATGGAACGAAGAATGCGAGTCGGCCTTTCAGAACTTCAAAACAATGCTCACAACTCCACCGTTGTTGACCAAACCTGACCCTCGCTTGGACATGATAATATACATATCAGTGTCAGATAAGGCCATCAGTACCGTCCTGGTGCAAGAAAGAACGGAACAAACGTCGGTATACTTCGTCAGCTGAGTATTGCAAGACGCCGAAACGAGATATCAGCATCTTGAAAAGACAGTCTTAGCCCTAGTACATACTGCCAGGCGCCTGCGGCACTACTTTTAGAGCCATCGGGTGCTCGTCCGAACGGACAGCC